ACAGGTAGAGCTTTCTTTTAAAATTTACCTAGAGTTTGAGGTGTGGATGCAAATAATCTCTTGAGCTTTAGAAAGCTCATCTATCAATTCTAGTCTTAGAAAAAAAAGAATACCTTTAGGAGAGAGCAATAGGTGATAACCAAGAATGAAAAATGAAGACTCAAATCTTAAAACTAGAAGGGGCCTCAAATATAATCTAGTCCAAGGCCTTGGTTTTAAATATAAGAACTTAGAGTTGGAAGGAAAGAGGGCTTGTTAAAGGAATATGTATTGTGTCTTCACAGCTGGGTGGGGTTTCAGCCTATGAGACTCATGCCCATGCTTATTTAATCTTCAGAGCCAGCCTGGAGGTACAGATTTTGGCTCCATTTCAGAGATGAGGAAATTCAAGACAGAGAAACATGACTTCCCCATTGTCACACAGCTAACATGTAACAGAGCTGAGCCTCAAATATAAGTCTGATTTTTTTTTTTTTTTTTTACTGTACCTTTAGATGAAAACATTATGACACTAGAAGTGAGTGGTACTTCGCAGTGAGTCAACTCTTATTCTTCAATAAAGGCATCAGTACCTTGATAGCATCTGGGAAGACTCAAGGAGAAAACTTGAAAAAGGCCAAGATCTGGTTTAAAATGCTAAAAGAGTCCCTTAAACCTTCAAGTACCAGCTGTTTTCTAAAAATTGAGGAAGTTGGTCTGGGGTGGAACTCAGTAGGTAGCACATATAGGGCCCTGGGTTCAATCCCCAGCACCACAAAAAAAAAAAAAAAAAAAATGATGTTGTGCACCTGTCATCCCAGTTATTTAGGAGGTTGAGGCAGAATTCCAAGTTCAAGCCTAGCCTGAGCAACTTAGTGAGACCCTGACTCAGAATTTTAAAAATAATATAAAAATAGAGCTAGGGTTGTAACTCAGTGATACAGCACTTGCCTAGCACACACAAGGCACTGGATTCACAGCATCACAAACAACATTGGAATAGGCCAAAGGAGTTCAGTAGAAGCCTGAATATCTAAACTCCATTCCCATTCCCCCACACCCTGGCTATTCCTTTCCCTGAAATTAAGCTCTCAAGCACTTGGGTATGTGACTAATTTAATAAGTCATTGAAAATTGCCTACCTAATGCTCATCTACAAACCCCATCCTGATTTGCATCAGAATCCTAATCATTACAATCTAAAACCCCAAACCATCCCTTGGTGGTAATTTGTTTGCTAAAAAATGGACATAGTATTTAGATATTGGATTTCTCCGTTTTAGAGTCTAATGGAGAGGCCTTTTCTATACTCTCAGCTGGAACTCTCAGTTCCAGCTCTTTCATGCTCTCTTATAAGTAACTCACTTTCTCAGTTTCTGAGTTCCAGCTTAGTTCTGTCAACTCCATCTACCTTCTTTCACAGTATCAGAGGAGCTAGACTATACATTTGTTTTTTTGGCTAGATTGAGGTATCCATCCATATTCAACTGCTTTATTTTAATAAAATTGCTGCCTGGCCTGGCTATGATGGGACCAAGACAAAAAGGATAGCCCCTTATGGAGGAAATAGTAGAATTTGGAACCACACATCTAAGTTATTTGCTTTTGACTTACATTTTCACATGAGTACTGCCTACGCCCTCAGAAGATTCCATCAAACTCTAATGTTATGATAAATTCGGGTTAAACAGGTGTAGAAAAGGTCTTTTTTTTTTTCTTCTAGTTATTAAAGAATAGCCCAACTGAGAGAGAAGGGTCATAGGACATATATCACTCATTATCTCATATCCTTTTTCTAGTCTCTCCCAGTCATTATTCACATTTTCTTCTTCTTAAAGGATTGATTTTTCAAGGTCACTGGCTGAACAAAGGATTTGAAGGTGGTCACCCTACTCTTCCAAATTTTTCTTGATTTCATCACATTTCATGTCTGATAGTCTCTCCTGGGATAGAATTGCTAATCAAATATCCATTTTGATCTTAATATTGGTATGCTAAACTATATAGAATTGTTAATTTGGTGGAAATAAATCACTCTTGCAGAATCTTTTTTCTAAAAGGCACACCAAAGAAACTTTACCTGAAGTCTGGTTAAATGTTCTATAATTCTCAAGAGCATTGGCTAGGGCCTTCATAAAACCTCTGCCTTAAGCTAACAGTACACACTGCTACAAGCTGTGTCTTCAATACAGCTTGTACTGTTAACATACTGTACCCAAGTATTACAACTCCCACTGTCCTTGGATAGTCACAATGCAGCTGATGACTGATATTATCTGTGCAGATGACTGGTATTCTTTTCCCCTAGACATTCATCCTAGTAGACTGAATGCCCTTACATAGCTTACAAAGAGTCTGCTAGCCAGGGTTCCTGAACCCCATATCCCAAGACTCTTGTCTGAGTATGGAGGCTAAACTGGAACCTGCAGTCCCTGGTCTTGAATTCCATCTCCAACTGGAGGCCCCCAGAGGGCCTTCTGTCCACAACCAAAGAGCTGAAGAGGGAACACTGAGATCAAAGAGCAACCCAAAAAATGTCCTGGAGGTGAGGGCTTTCCCTAATCCCCTGTAGTTACCCTATGCCCCTCCTAAACATCCTAGAGGGATAGTGATAATCTTTTTTCTCTAGAATGGAAATTCTTACATAGAGGTCCACAGACCCCTAGAATCTTAACTCCTTGATAACACATATGAAATGGGTATGTGTGTGTGTGTGTGTGTATGTGTGTGTATATACACACATACATATATATACATATATATATACACACACACACACATGGTTTCATGGTTTTCACATTTTTTTAAATTTAGTCTTCAGTAGAATCTTCAGTTTTCTCTGAAAGTCTTCTAGTTGGAATTGTTGGGAGCAGAGGGTAACAGTTACTCTAACTAACAGATAAGCCCTAAGTCACTGATATCCAGCCATGTTCAGTGCATGTGACTACCAGATGCCAAGTTCTAGAAAATGTCTCTGAAACTGCAAGATTCTTTATAACCATCTCAAGTCTAATCTGGTCCCTGAAAGAATCATTTGTACTTGGCTATCAGAGACAGAACCAGAGAAAGAAAAATTCTTATACTCTGTGCCTACAGCTGGCAGAATTTGTTACATGTCCCAGACCAAGCCACAGGACTGACCTCTGAGCATGAAAAGGGAAGAGCCATTGAGGGGAACAGTCATCAGCTTCAGACCCGGCTCTTAAGAGCCTGGGACCAGGGGCTCACCCTAGCCTCTGCAGAAAATCCGATCCCTATAGACAGACATTCTCCCTCTCCTAATGCCTAATGTCTCCCTGAATCTGAAATAACCCTTACCATGCTGAAAGAAGGAAGCCATATAACTGACTTAGGCAGGCAATCAGAATTTGATGGTTTATGTCCTAGAAGGGCACAACCAAATCTGGAAGTTTTAGAAATGCAAGGTACTTTGAAGCCAAAGTGATTTGTACTGTGGGTCTCAAATCTCAATAGAATAAAGATCACCTTCAATTTTTAAAATGCATATTCCTAGACCACTGGGATTATGATTCAGTAGTTCTAGGGTAGAACCAAGGTATTTATACTTTTTAAAGTGAAACCAGTAATTCTGACCCTAGAAGTCCAAAATCTTTAGAAAATTTCTAAGAGCCCTAAGGTACCAGATACAGAGAAACAGATCAGGCAAACCCCTTTCAAACCTCCACCAAGATAATACCAGAGGCTTTCAATTACCATTTATAGGGTCATCTACCTACTACATACTCTACTAAGCCCTACATGGATTATTTTATTTAATCGTGCTGTGCCCTAATGTGCCCATTTACACATGTGAGTAATGAAGCTAAGAAAATAGGTAAATTGACCAAGATCCTTCAGTTCTGAGTAGCAGAGTCAGAAATGACACTCCTTAACTAATCTACCCAGAATTCTGAAGAGTTTCAGTGCTTGGTGCCTGATGACAGCAAAAGGGGAAGATATGAAACCACATCCCTTCTGCAGGTGGGCTGGGGAAGAACTTGATGGGACACAGAGTAAGTGGACCACTGCAAGAAAGCAGACAATCAAGCAGGCTATCAAGACAGACAGAAAGAACGATGGGCAAATGGGCTGACAAGGTAAGTGTTTTAGTCAGCTTTTTCACTGCTGTAACTAGGGTTACCCTGGTCCCAGGCTCTTAGGAGCCAGGTCTAGATCCAACCAGAACAACTGTAGAGGAGGAAAAGTTTATTTAAGGGCTGCCAGTTTTGCAGATCTTAGTCTACAGAAGGCTGACTCCATTCCTTGGGGCTCAAGATGAGGGTGAACATCATGGAAGAAGAGTGTGGTGGATGGAAGCCGCTCACATGGTGAAGAGGAAGCAGAGAGAGAGACTCCACTCCCCAGACAGAAATATATACCCAAAGCCACACCTCAATTCCCACCTCCTCCAGCCACACCCTCCCACTTTAGGGTTACCACCCAATTAATCCCACAGGGGATTAGACCACTGATTGGATTAAGACTCTTGTGACCCAATCATTTCTCATCTGAGCTTCTTGCACTGTCTCACACAAGAGCTTTTGGGGGACACCTCACATGCAAACCATAACAGTAAGGATTACATTCCTGGAGTGCAGAAGGAACAGAGGACAGAGATGATATATGAAAAATGGACTAAAAGGGCTTTATAAGAACTGGCTGGCTGCAGGGAAATCAGTGAAATGCCATGGGAAGCTTTTGATCAATATAAGCCCAAGGGCCCTGGGTCCTATGGCCCCTTATGGATAGTCCTGCATTTATACTGTTAAACTGACAGAAAAAATAATGAGTTTGAGTTATCAAAACCAAGACCAACTTTGGAGCCCAGAACTCTTTACAGAATATTAGATACTCAACCATAAAGGGGCATAACAATAGTATCTACTTTACAGAGTTATGTACATGAGAACTAAATGAAATAATTTTGAATAAAATGTTTAGTATAATATGAACACATAGAAATTGGAAAATGGTAGCTTTATAATCACTAATTACTACTGAAACCATGCTCAATAAGCAACTTCTGTGGCATCCTGTTTATTTGTGACAAAAACTGAGGTCAAATATGGTCTCTATACACTGAAGTTTTTTCTCCATAGAAGATTTTGTTAATGGTGTTCTTTTTATCACTACTCAAAAATAAAAAGTTATCCACAAATATATTAACAATTTGATCAAAATCAACTTTTAGCTTTCCCTTTCCTTTTAGTCCTGATATTACCCAAAAACCAACTTGATACAACTGTTCCATCCCAATTTGCTCTTGAGGAAAAATAAAGCTGTGGTTCTGTGAACCATCTATATACATTAGAACCCACTGATTGATTGTCAGTAGGACTTTCAATAATTTTCAACCACTTGGGAGAGATGCCTCAAGCAAATGGACAGATCCAAGAAGGCCAGCAAAAAGACCTGAGTGCAAAAGTGCAATGAACATGGCTGGTTGAGTGTTTCCTCAGCAGGCAGCACCCCTGTACTAGAAGAAGACTCCACCTTCTGCCCTCTCAATTAGCCTCACTGTTCAGTAAAGAACTGATGACACGGTCTTCCTGAGAAGGGAGCATTTAGGTGACCTTGGGTAGGAAGGAGTGGAAGGTACATAACAAATTAAGTACTCTCGATGAAGAAGGAAAGAAAACTAGTATAGTATAGATTAAGGTCAGAGAACTTGACCCCACAGAGCCTTCAGGATAAACAAGCTACTTTGACAAAAAAGGTGCCAAAAAGGTCCCACATGCCTCCAGAGAGAGAAGATAAATGTAAGGAACCAAAACATATGACCAGCCCCTCTACTGGTCCTGGAGATGGCAATCGGGCATGTCCCAGCAACCTCATCAGAGAACACATTCCTAATTCCTGAACCATTTCTACCTAATAATTCCTGAACTATTTTGAGCGACCCTACATTGTAGCCACTCAAGAATAAAATAAGCTTTGTAAAAAACTGCATGTTTTAATTTGGGAAATGAGAAAATATTCACAAGCAACCCAGAACAGGTGCTAGCAAGTTCATTCCCATCAGTCACACTTGTGGCAGAAGTTCAGGATCTGCAGAATCACTTTGTCCAGTGCCTCCTGAGATGCTCTTTCAACTGAGGAATGGTAGGCAGTAGCTGCTGGCACTCATGACAACGAAGGGGCAGTTTCAAGAGCTCAGACATCCCATCTCGAACAGTCACTCTGCCAGACTCTTGTACCATCTTGATCACAGCTGCAAGCAGGGAAGAAAAGTTCAGATCCTAGCCTCTCTGGAAAGCCAATGTAATGGTACGTAAATAACCAAAAAGAAAAGAAAAAAAACATAATTCCAGTCAATTATGTCAGATATTCTAAAGCTAGTAAACTTGAGGTAGACTTCACATTTGGAAAATGGGCCTGATAATCAGATTCTAAATCTGAGCAATCTTTGAGACAATACACTCCTTCAGAACATGCTTCATGTTCCTATGTCAAGACTTATCACAGAGCTTTACACCTGGTTGGCCCTTGATCAATGGTAGCTACCACCATAAACACCTCAGTGATATAGAAGTTCCACAGAATATATACCAAACAATGCTTACTCCAAATATACACAGCTTCCCATATTCATTAACCACTCTGACATGAGGTAGCCCCCAAGCTCCTGCCCATCCTCCTGATAGTAGAAGACACAACTGTTCAGAGCCTTCTCATCCATGGACTCCAATAATTCTGTTGCCACAACAGAACACTTTTTGACCCTTACATCTTACTAATTTTCTCAAGAAGGCTGCTCAGAGCAAAGTGACAATTATATTACAATCTAAATCTTCCAGTTTTTTTTTTAATAGTGCCCTCTTTGTAGAGAACATAAAGTTGTACACAGGTTGTTGAGGGCAGGTTGTTATTTAGTAAAACAACTGATTCAAGTGTAATATGCTTCAGGGGGGAAAAAATGCAAAAACCAAAGAATACTATTTACCTTCTGATTCTAGGAAGTATTCTGTATTGAAAGAATTCCAATGTTTTTTGTTTTTAAGGCAAGGAGAATCAAAATCTTGGCTGATCACATGTAGGTGTACATGGCTAGTTGGAAGAAAAAAAAATGATCATTAAACTCATTAAAAATAATTGCTTGCCAGGCACAGTGGCACATGCCTGTAATCCCAGCCCCTTGGGAGGCTGAAGCAGGAGGATTGTGAGTTCAAAGCCAGCCTCAGCAACTTAGTGAGGCCCTAAGCAACTCAGGGAGACTCTAAATAAAATACAGAAAAGGCCTGGGGATGTGGCTCAGTGGTTAAGTGCCCCTAGCTTCAATACCCTGGTACCAAAAGAAAAAAATAAAAAAGCATACCTCATGCTGGGAATGGCATGGTAGCCCATTCTGAAGCGGAGTTTGCTAGATCCAGCAAAATCTGCAATCACCTTTTCCCCAACAGTGTGCATGTGCTTGAGGAGTTCAAAGTGTTCCCTAGTCACATCCTTCAGACTGGAAATGGAGGCCCATGGTAAGACCAGCCAGTGATGACGAGCCTTAGGATATTTATCCTTAATCACCACTACCTGCTCATCTTTGTAAACCTAGCAGAGGGGCAAAAGAGCAGGAAACAGACATCTGAGATTCTTCTGTGTGCAAGGTACTATCATATTCATTAAGTCACTTAATTCCCAAAACTATATTGTGCAAAGGGAGGTGAGGGGGAAAAAAAAAAAAGCAGTAAGAACACTGAGAGTGAAGTTAAAAGTGTCTTACAAGTCACATAGCCACTAAGTGGGAAATCTAGGATTTCAACACAAATGAAGTGGACTCCAGAGTCCATGTCTTCAACCACCAAACTATACAGAATATACAAAAGATGCATGGCACAAAATAGTTTCCAAGGACCTGATATTAAAATCTCTGCAGGCATCAATTCAAATGCATTTACTATAACACAGGGGACAGCATAATATACGTGCATGGGTTCTGGGGAGCCCTAACAACCTGGTCCCTTGTCAATCAGGATGTAATGGAAGCAGACCTCAAAGGTTCCTCAGGGATGATGGCTGACTTAATCCTAGTGCAGCACAGTACTACAGTCACAAGACATTTACCTGAGGCTCCCTTAAAAGGGACCATGATAAAGTTAACATGACTTTTCTTAACAATACACAAAAGTTTAAAAGAAACAAGGCAGAAGGCACATTCTTTTGAAGAACTTAGCTTCTCTTCAAAGAACCTTTTGCCAATGGGAAAAAGCACTTGTTCTCATAGGATAGCAAAACAAATCTCACTTGGAAGGACTGATAACCTTTGATTTCATTTGTAAATATGGCCTCTGCAGAGTGGTCATGTACAACATGAAATGTACTTAAGTTTCAAAATTTTATTCTGACCTGCATTTTGGGGTCCTGCATAGAAATTTTCAAGCCTTGACTCCAATGGCCCAGTGAGTCCTAAACAAAAAAGGACAATGTAAATTTCAAATGCAAATAATTCATCACTAGTTATCACTATGTGACAGAAAAGTCTAACAAAATTTTGAAGGTTAGATTTTGAGAATTAGACTTCCTTTACTTCAATTTTTTGCCTTTTAGGAAAATAATTGTCTTCCTATATTCAGAACTAGGTTTTAAGATGGAGGCCAGAAATGCCAGAACATGAATTACATCTTCTTTGCCCTCTCACACTCCAACTACAGCCTGACAAGTTTTCACTTCGATATCAGCCTGTGAACTACATGATCTATAAATAGTATTCCAATGTTAACTTTCTACAGATATACAAATGACCCATTTTAGTGTTCAATGTTAAGTACATTATTACCATACTACCTTCCTTCAAGTGGCTTACCTCAGGAATTTAAGAGACGAGCACTTAAAGGGACATTCACCCAAATGATTCTCATGTGACAAACAAGTGACTCTTTCATCATGGTTAATAACCCTCATTATAGTTAATTACCCCTCACAAGTGTCTTGGCTTTATAGTATACAAAACAATGAAGCAGTCATTATATCTCATTTAATCTCCACATCATCTATCAATCACACTTCCCTCACCTTTTTGTTAGATGCATCTTTCTCCTTTTGAGGGGCCATAGAGCATGGTCTGGGGCTGCTCCCAGATTCCACCCCTGTCCCAGGCTCAGCTTCCTGGACAGCATCCCTTTCTACAGAATTACCATTGCCTGACCTCTTTTTCTTCCTGTGTGTTTCTGGGCCAGGGTTCTTGGCCTCTTCCTCAAACTCTACAATATATGGATAAAGTTCATTCACCATGTAGAGAACCTGACCAGGCTGCAGCTTCATCTCTTGATCCTTTCCAATTATGACTGAGTCAATGCTGGTGGGATTGACTCCAACCTAGGGAATAAATAATCAGAAAATAATTATAATAATAGCAACACCACCACAAGTAATATAGCTGCTGCTATGCTGACCACTTACTATGGTGCCAGTCACTATGCTTAATGCTCACCTATCACTTCCACACATGTCAGAGAAGCCTTTGCTAGTTGGCACAGATACTCTAAAGGCAAACCATTAAGTATAAAATGGAAATCCAAGTTACACACACACATACCTGCTTTACCTTGACATATCCCTTGTTACACTCTGCTTTCAACTGTACTGAAAGAGATTAGAAAAAGTTAAACACAAATGCAACACAAATCAGGCACTTGCTTCTATTCTCCCTAAAAGATAATGAAGCCTTAATGCACAAGGCAGCCTAACAGATGAACAACTGCCTGATATGCAGGTGGCTAGGGTTCCAAATCCTACAATTTCTAAGAGCTCCAAATCCTTCCATAGAATGTCCATCAGTATACATATTCCCTTAGCTACTGATAATATCCTATGAGAAAGCTTCAGTGAATCCCTACAAGATTCCCTAAGCTAGAACCCCTGGCCAGCTCAGGATCATAGACTTTGCCAACAAGAAACCCAAGTTCTTGGCTCAGGATTAAGTCAGGCTTCCACTATTATTAAAAAACAACTATCGCCAGGCACAGTGGTACATGCCTGTGACTAATCTCAGTGACTCAGGAGGCTGAGGTAGGAAGATCCCAAGTTCAAAGCTGGCCTCAACTTAGTGAGACCCTGAACAACTCAGCAAGACCCTGTCTCAAAAATAAAACATAAAAATTAAAGAAAAAAAAAGGTGGGGGCTGGGGGTATAACTCAGTGCCAAACTGCCCCTGGGTTCAATTCCCAGTACCAAAAAAAATAAAGAAAGAAAAGAGGGGCTGAGGACATAGCTCTGTAGTAGAGCACTGGCCCAGCATGCTTGAAGCTCTGGGTTCAATTCCCAGCACAACAACAACAACAAAAAATTTAACATATATCAGATAGTCAGACATGGTGGCACACACCTGTGATCCCAGTGACTCAAAAGGCTGAGCAGGAGGATTGCAAGTTTGAGACCAACCTCAGCAACTTAGCAATGCCCTAAGGACTTAGTGAGACCTGGTCTCAAAATAAAACATTAAGGAAAAAAAAAAAATCTGAGGCTATGACTCAGTGGTTAAGTAACCCTGGGCTCAATTCTTGGTACCAAAAAAAAAAAAAAAAAAAAAAAAAAAATATATAAATATATTATAAGTATCCTTCAACAGAGAAAAGAGGTAAAACAGAAAGCCCAGTTGGCCTTGGTTGGAAGGAAAAGAAATAGTATTTTAGAGGAGCTGCAGTTACGGATCAGTGGTAGAGTGCTTGCCTAGCATGTTTGAGGCACTAGATTTAATTCTCAGTACCGCATAAGTAAAATAAAGGTATTGTGTCCATCTAAAACTAAAAATTTTTTAAAAGAAAAAATATTTTAGAAAAAGAACTGCAGAAATGGAACAGTCTGAGCATGTATAAGAAAAGGTCACATTAAACACTCATGTGCAGGTAAGTGAACTAAGTATCTGGGATTGAGACAGGGAGCAAGAAACACCATAGCTGCTCATCAGGAAAAGATAGGTAGATACACCGGCTGATATACACACACATATGCCCTAGAGTTGCTGCTGTGAGGAGCAGGATAGAAGAGGCAGCAGCTGCTTCTGTATCTTGGGTCTTTCCAAAGTTTACAGGAAACAGTGAGGTACACAGTAAGGCTTTTTCCTGAGAGCAAGGACTTTCATTTCATTCTTCTTATGAAAAGAAGAAATACTAGGGAATGATATTGGCCCAATTATACTGCTATATCATGGGCATATACAAATATGTAACAATGAATCCCACCATTATATGTAATTATAATACACCAATAAAAAATATGGAAAATAAATAAACCCTATGAAAGAACTGCATACCATATAGTCTTATAAAAGACATTGTCCTCTGTGTGAGGCTATATGTAAGGGATGACACCACTCCATTGCTTCTTAGACATGATTTCAGTCTGGAGACTCCAAAATTAATCTGTCTCATTATCCAGTATGGAATCTCCCTGGACAAAGCAGTATACAGGACTCAATTCCATTATCCCACGGTAAAATGATAAACCTGCCTGTTCCCAACCCTCTCCTCCCCCTGCCTAGAATGTTACCACATTGGGAGTATGGAATCAAAAAAATGGGGCCCTGGTGTTATCTAAATGAGATTAGTTCTTGAGTTTTTGGTAGACAATAGGTTTTCCAGCAAGAGCACCCAGGAAATATACATCTTTGGTGATCACTATTTTCTAGAACCAAACATGGAAATCACACTTCTATGACCAATTACCTTGCTGTCGAGAACATTTCTTATCAGTGATCTTGGTCTCTGGGCCACGCCCAATCATAACTGCTTCCAAATGTGGAAGTTTGATTCGCTGGTGCAAGTTGTCTTGTCTCACCAACCAGCACACCCGCATTATCACTGAGAGATAAAACAAGAGAATCACTGGAAAAACAGATGCACAAGTACAAGTCCTCCAGGGCTATAATCTAGCACCACCAAACATGTGATTTATCAGCTGTTCATCTTGAGGCAGGTGACTTCACCTCTCTAGCCTCAATTTCCTTACCTATAAATTTGTGATAATGACAAGACTCAATCAGGCTCCTGTGAGGATTCAATGAAATAATACAGGTATTTACCTCCTTGCCTGAATCATACGAAGCAATCAAACATTTGTTACAAATTTATTCATATACTTTATGTGCTGGACATTAAGGCTACATAAGCACTATAAGAAGAAAATAACCAAATGTGGCATTAGCCCAGAGAGAGAGAACTGACTGACTCTTGAGGAGGGTATTTAAAAAGGTTTCATGAGGAAGGAATACTTATCAGGGTTTTAAAATATGTGAAGGAGTTTGCCTATCAGAGAACTACGAACATAAGAACAAAGATGTTCCTCAGTTCTTAGATGTCTTTATGTGTATTAGAAGGTTTTCTTTTCTTAATTGAAATAATATACTGCTATTAAAACAATACATGTTATTCCCATCTGTCATAATATACAACCTGTACAATGGAGGTGCTGATGTTCTTTTGAAAATAAAGGTTATTTTAGAGTATCAGAAAAAAATAAAGAAATTCACAGGAGAGATGGACCAAGCAAAAGCAGAAAAGCCTGAGAAATCTGGAAGGTAAACTTAATGACATTTGGGGGATGACAAAGGAGTAAAGAGAGACACCAAATCAAAATTTCTAATTTAGAAGGTGTCCATTAACCAAAATGAAAAATATACAGGAAGACATAATTTAAGGACAGAGGTGAAGGTGAAGAAGGACCAATTTGATATTAAAACACAATTAGTTTAAGCTGTCTGTGGAAGATCCAAGGGTCAAGTGGGGATATGCAAAGATGAAGCTAGAGAAAGAGGGATGAACTGGGACCTGGGGTTGTGGCTCAGCGGTAGAGCACTCACCCAGTACGTGTGAGGCCCCGAGAATCACATGTGATTCTCAGCACCAGTAAAATAAATAAATAAAATATGTTGTGTCCAACTATAACTAAAAATAAATATTTTTTAAAAAAAGAAAGAAAAAGGGATGAACAGAACATATATATTTGATAGGAATCAACATAAAGCTAAGGCAAAAAGAGAGAATGAGATTACCTAGGAGGTGGAAAGGGGAATCACAGGTAAGTACAGGACTAGATCTTTTGGATACCTCCCCTAGATTCCAAATCAATGCTCATGTCTCTGACACCCCCCTTCACAGAGAAATGAGGCCTGCAGTCAAAGCAGCAGTTATGCTGTCTGCAAAAACTTAGTGTTCATAAAGACAACAGATTTTTAAAAATCAGAGTTTCATTACTATCTGCAAAGACAAGCCAATACAAAGCAGAGTGAGAAAATGAAAGCTGAAAAGGTGCAAATTCACAGAAACTAGATTAATATGAGAATATGCAGGCTAAGGAGGTCCTGTATTAGTCAGGAAAGGCTTCCAGAAACCACCCAGTTAGAGAAGGCCAGAAACCAAGGGGACTGATAAAGAAAGAAAAGAGTAGGAAAGGGTATTTCATTATTTCATTTTTAAAAGCATAAGTGACAGCACAGATTTCAGCAATGGCAAGCCATGGACCAGGGAGAGAAAGCAGACTTAGTTGCTAAACCAGAGGAGCTGTCCCAGAGAGTCACACACACACACACAAAAAAAAAAAAAAAGAAAGGAAAAAAAATGGCACAAGTGTTCAAAGAACACTAAACTGAGAAGTTTAAATTTAACATAATCAATATTAGTCAACCACCAGGTTTTGAGCTTCACAGTAAAATGAAACAACAGAAGTCAACATTTTGCCAACAGCTGTGTACAGGCAGGGTAGAGTGGAGAAAGCTAGAGTCAGAGACTAGTCAAGAGGCTGTTAATATATATGTAGACCACAGAGATTCAAAAGGCAGCTCAGCAGGTCTCCGGGAGGAAACTGATGCAAGAACCACAAAAATTCAGCTGTAAATCTAAAATCCTAAACATGAAGCCCCAAATGATGACAGTGCTATAGGCAGGTCCTACTTTAAAATGCTGTGTGTTCTGAGGGACATCTGTTTGCACTTTCTAGAATCTGACAAATGTGCAGGTAACGGACTGAAAAGCAAGTCTTTGTTATGCACTGGGAAATAAGTAATGTGGTGAATGAAAACTGACGCTGACAATTAAAAGAAACCATAAAAGAGTATAGTTTGAGAGTAGGGACAGAGACTATTTACAGCTTCGGCCACCCACTCATATGTGTCCCCTGCCAAAAAAAGGAGGGTAGGGTGAGCTACTGTATTAGGAACAAAAAAGTGAACAAAGATTTGAGAAACATTTAGGTGGTAAAATCAAGATTTAGTGATGAATATAATAAGAGTAAGTTTGGGGAAGATGTTGAGTTCAGTTTCAGGCCTCTGAAGTCTGTGGGACTTGCAAGTACAGCTATCCAGGAAGCCAGGCATAGGTAACACATGCCTACAATTTCAGCAACTCAGAAGGCTGAAACAGGAAGACTGCAGGTTTGAGGCCAGCTTCAGCAACTTAGCAAGACCCTGTTCTGAAATAAAAAATAAAAAGGACCAGGGAAGTAGCTCAATAGTGAATCTCAAGAAAAGAGGTTTTTTAAAAAAGAAGAAGAAAAAAAAAAAAAAAAGAGGTCTAACCTGACAACTTTGATTTGGGAGCATGGAGTAGGTACTATAAACCAAGCTATTTAATGTACTCACTCAGAAAGTGTATATAGAATGAAAAGAGCAAAGGAGCTAAAATCACAGGCACTGGAAACATCAAATATTTTAGGGGAAGGGGGAAAACCATATACACAGGAGAAATGACTGGTAAGCAAAACACAAGTAGAAACAACTAGAATGTAAACTTTTTAAAGAAAAAAAAATATCCGTCTTGCTCATTTCTGTATCATAATAAATACTTGTTGAATAAACCAGCTGAGCATATTGTCCTGGAAAGCAGAGGAGTAAGGTATAAAAGGTATGATCAAGTTCCAAAAGCAGTAAAGGAATTCAGTTATAACTGAAAAATGCTTATCTTTTTTAAAAATATATTTTTTAGGTGTTGACCTTTAATTTGTTCATTTATTTATATGTGGTGCTGAGAATTGAACCCAGTGCCTCACATGTGCTAGGCAAGTGCTCTACCACTGAGCCACAACCCCAAACCCAAAAAATGCCTATCTTGTCAGGTGTGATGGTACCTGCCTGTAATGTCAGCAGCTCAGGAGGCTGAGGCAGGAGGATCACATGTTTAAAGCCAGCCTCAGCAACTCAGCGAGACCCTGCCTCAAAATGTTTTTTTTAAAAAGAGCTAAAGATGTGGTTCAGTAGTTGAGCACCCCTGGATTCAATCCCTGGTGCCAAAAAAAAAAAAAAAAGGAAGGAAGGAAGAAAAGAAAAATGCCTATTGGTCTGGTAACCTATCACTGGCGACCTTAGGATGAAATGTCAAGAGAATAATGAGTCTGAAAGCTAGACTGCAAAAGAGAATGGGAGGTGAGAAAATGGGGACAGAATTTATAATACTCTAAAACAGTATGGATAACAAAGGGAAGAGAGTTACTAGTGGACAACAAAAGGAAGACAATCATCAGAAATGTTTTCTTTCTTTAGTTGGGAGTGTCAGGAACTTATTTATTCTTACTGGAACACAAATAGAAAGGGGCAGAAATGACAAATGAAAACAAGGTCTTATAAACAAAGGCATAAAAAAAGATCAGAATCAAAGATCAAGGGATTTCTTTGGCCAGAGACACACTCATCCTGAAGCTAAAGGAAAAGGAAAGATGAGTATAAATATAGATGATATTGTTAAGAAGGAAACAAAGGAAGACATTTGAGAGGAAAGCTGGGGGTGGTGGTCCACACCTGTAATCCTAGTTATTTGGGAGGTGAGGAAGAAGGATTCCGAGTTCAAGGACAGCCTTGGCAACTCAGCAAGAACCTGTATCAAAAGGTGGTAGAAATATAGCTCACTGGTATAGTACGTGCCTAGCATACAGGAGATTCAATCTCCAGTAGAAAGAAAAAAAGAAGAAAGAAATTTAATTAATTTGAGGGAAAACATATCTGATGACTGTAATTGACACCATTAAATAATAGGTAACAACAGAGTGAGGTGTTTGGGAATTTATTGAATAGTTGAAGGAAATCAATATGGGATAGTGATGACCAACCAAGACTTCAAAGTTAAGACTGCTTGAATTCAAATCTTGACCACTTGAGTTCAAATCTTACACTCACTGTGTAACCTAGGCAAGTTATTTAAAGTCAACACTTACCACTCCTGTTAATAGTGAAGATAGGATTAAAGGAGGAGCTTCAGATATGATAAAAGATCATCCAAAAGCGAAGACTGTGCAACTAAGGTCAAAAGACACAAATCTGTACTGTCTCCCCAAGTGAACAATCCTGACTCAAAGTGTTCTACTAAATTCCCAACGTAAGTCAAATTCCCTAGAGTCCAAATATGGGCCGCATTAATTCCAAATGGGATGGAACCTCAAATATCCCTGCTTTGCAGATCCGCTCACTGGTGTGTACGAGGAAAGGCTTGCTTCTATAAGTCTTTTTCCTACAAGGCCTGTTGAGGACGCCGCGAAAGGAGGCGTTTCTGGCGGAAAGTACTTTTCCCAACTGGTTGGGGCGGGTCCGTGAGCTAAGTTTTTTTTTCGGCTTGTAGGCGACCGAGGTGGGTACAGGTGTCGCGAAGAGGGGCGGAGACCAACGTGAACGCACGCTGAGACATGCCCACGAGAGCAGGAGGGAAGGATGAAGCGACATCTACTAAGAAAGAAGCCGTGAGAGCGTTGTTCAGGCCACATTGCTCAAGGATAGCAGAAACCCCGGCCTAATGCAGACACCCTCCTTCAACCCACATGGCCAGAAGACGACGTAGGTCGGCCACCGCCTTACCTCGAGTTGACGAGACCAAAACGTTCACGTTACTCCTTCCGGGCTCCTCCGCTTCCGGCGCCACGGGATGACGTCACGAGCCGGCTGGCGAGCACCCTCGGCGCGGATAGTTCCTCTCTCGAGGATTGACTGAAAGGGTCTCGCCCTGTTCCCGGATGGAAAAGCGACTGCCCCAATTGGTCGCTCACAATTCCTAGTGTCGGTCCTGCCAGTTATCGCGGTGGGGAGAGCTCTCTCAGCACCGCTCTACCTGAGGGCCACTCGCCTGTCACTGCCTCTGTCTCTGAATTAGGAAAGACAAAACTGCAGTCTCCTCTGTGGCTTTTCTCCGCAGCGTCTTGACACTCCCATTGTAAGAAGCAGCTCACTACCTTTAGAGCCATCATTCAAGCCGAAGGCAGGACCCGCTGTAGCATTGCCGCCCCCTTTCTAAACTACAGTCTGCTTTCTCCCTTTGAGAAGCGGGTGGTGGGAAAGAAAAGACTGGAGAGCAGAGAGGCAGAGGGATACCTGAACTGAAGGACAATCAGGGAGGAGAAAATAAGAGGGCAGGATGAGATGTGTGTCGTGATTTTTATAGAAATTCCAAGATATTCCCTTAAAGTCACATATTCAGTTATTCAAAGGCATCTCGGTAGATGAAAGATCTGGCCAGCCGGGACAACTCAGCAAGACTGTCTCAAATTTTTAAAAAGGGTAGGGACATAGCTCTCGTAGAGCATTTTTAATTCCTATCTCCTGAGTGAAAGCAGTAAAGAATTTTTCTCAAATGAAAATTAAACTTACGGAGTCCCATTTATTGATCAATGTGGAATACTGTTTCCTTCCTTGGAAAAGCAGAGATCCATTGTATGCTAGAGCTACCAAAACAAAAGGGTGGGAGGTGCTTGCGGGGAAACAAGGGAGAGAGTTGCTTTTGTTAGCAAAGATGCAAGTTTGTATTAGGATCACACAAGGAAGTGGGGAACACAGGAACTACCTCAGCAGCCACACAAGCCTCAAGGCTGAGGAATGTGGTTCACAACTGCTCAAGATTAAAAGAAGTAGTTCTGGTGACCTGACCAGTTTTGTTGTTCACTCAGAATTAAGCTTCCCTCGCCTCTGTTATACCTGGCCTGCCCTGGTGTTTCTTGCGTCTAACAATTTAATTGGATCATTCTAATTGCATTATTCATTGTATAATGTGCAAAAATTGGCAGCATTTCCATGCCCAGCTTCTTAGATCTAGCCCATTATGTATGGTGTATTAATGACCCCAAAAGCAAGGTCACATGGCATAATGTGTGGCTAAGGGCATGGCAGACTCTTAAGACTTTCAGTCTCCAGATACCATGGCACATACCTGTAATCCTGGCAAATCAGGAGACTGAGGCAGGAGGAATGCAAGTCGGGAGACCAGCCTCATCAATTTAGGGAGGCCCTAGCAACTTAGCGAGAGCCTGTCTCAAACAAGGGCTGGGCATGTAGCTCTGTGGTAAAGCACCTCTAGGTTCAATCCCCAGTACTTAAAAAACAAAACAAAACAAAAACTCTTTCAGTGACTTCACATTATTGTGCAAATAATCTCCAGAACTTTTCCATTTTCCAAAATTAAAGCTTTTGTCAATTAAACAACTCATTTTCCCCTCCCTAACCCCTATAACTCATTGTCCTACTTTCAGTTTCCATGAGTTTAACCACTCTAAAAGCTTCATCTAAATAAAATCATACAGTATTTGTCTTTTTGTGACTGGCTTATTTCACTTAGCATAATGTCCTGAATTTCATACACATTGTAGCATGTAGCAGAATTTCCATTTGCAGGGTGAATACTATTCCATTGTGTATACACTACATTTTATACATTTACCCATCAATGGACACTGGATTGCTGCTACCTTCTGGTTATTGTAAATAATGCTGTTATGAACATGAATATACAAACATCACTTCAAGATCTTGCTTTCAGGGCTACTGATGTAGCTCAATGTGGATGCCTGCCCATATGCAAGATGCTGTAATCCCCAGTACACCCCCACCCACACACATAAGAGCTTGCTTTCAATTATGTTGGATCTACACACAAATAGAATTATTGGGTCAAATGGTAATTTTATCTTTAGTACTGTTAGAAACTGCCATAATGTTTCTCATAGCAGTTACACCATTTTACATTCCCATCAATAGTGTACAAAGAGTTCCAACTTTTCTACATTCTTACCAATACTTGTTCCTTTATATATATATATATCAGCCATTCTCACCCACAGTGAGGTATTATCTCACTGCGGTTTTGATTTATATTTCTGTAAAGGTTAGTTCCATTTGTATATCTTCTGGAAAATATTCTTTTTTGCCCATTTTTCACTTAGGTTATTTGTTTTGTTGTTGCTATTAAGTTCTTCACATATTCTGTATATTAACCTCTGATCAGACTTAATATTTGCAAAGATTTTCTCCCATTTTTCAGGTTGCCTATTCACTGTGTTGTGTCCTAGGATTCACAGAAAAATGTGTTTTCTCATACTGGGGGATTAAATCCAAGGGCTACATCACATTTTTTTTTTAAGACAGGATCATGCTAAGTTAGTGAGGCTGGCCTCAAAAATGTGATCCTCCTGCCTCAGCCTTCTGAGTTTCTGGGATTAGAGGCATGTGCCACCACACCAAGCAGAAATTTACATTGATATGGTTTAATTTTATCTCTAATTTTGTGGCTTCTGCTTTTGGTGTTGGCCAAGAAATCATTGCCAAATCTTTTCCTCTGATTTTCTAAGACTTTATAGTTTTAGATCTTACTCTTAGGTCTTTGAATCATTTGTAGTTCATGTCTTATACTGTGTAAAGTGAGGGTCCAACTTCATTGTTTTTGTTTAGCTTTTTGAAACAATGTCTCACTATATTGCCTAGGCTAGATTCAAACTTTTGATCTTTCAGCCTCAGCCTTCCCAAGTAGTTGGGATTACAGGTGGACATCACCACATCTGACTCAACTTCATTCTTTTGCATGTGGATATCCAGTTTTCCCAACACCATTTGTTAAAAAGATTGTTCTTTCCTCAATAAATGGTCTTGTCATCCCTGCCAAAAATCATTTGAGCCAAGCATACTATGTATGCCTATAATCCCAGTGATTCAGGAAGCTGAGGCAGGAATGTCACAAGTTTGAGACCAACCTCAACAATTTAGCAAGGCCTTCAGCAACTTAGTGAGAACCTGTCTCAAAATTAAAAAAAAAAAAATTAAAAGGCTGGAGATGTGCCCCGTGGCAAGCCTCTCTGGATTCAATCCCAGTATGGAAGGAAAGAGGAGGCGGGGAATTATTTAACCATTTATGCAAGGGTTTACTTCTAGGATTACTGTTCTATCCCATTGTTCTATGTCTATGTCTTTATGCCAGTACCACACCATTTTGATTACTATAGCTTTATAATAATTTTTAAATCAGGAAGTGTGAGATCTCCAACTTTGTTCTTTTTCCAACCGTTTTGGCTAGTCTGCTCTAGGATTTTAAAAATCCCAACAGTTAGAATTGGATCTCATATGAAAATCAGAATTCCTGGTCTCTTGAAAAAAAATCAATAAATCAAGCACATTCTGGCAACAAATAGTTAGAACTGAATAACTGACATCTGTTCTCCAGTTTGCCACTCTCTGCACCTACTTGATTATATAACTGTCTGAACTCATAAAGGCCCTTCTTTCTTTGAAACTTCAAGATTCCTGATCTACAGAAAAGCAGCCAGACCCAGAGGACCTACTTCATCTAAGGAAAAGGCAGTTGGAGCCAGAGGCTGTGCCTGGTCTGGTTCAGAGACTTGCTCTTAAGCAATGGTGTATATATAGCTAGGAAACCACATTTTGTTTCAGCATTTGGGAAGGTTATAGCAGAGTTCTCTGGAGAAATAGTAAGGGTAGGAGAGGGTTGGGAGGGGAGTCAGGAAAGGTCTATTTGAGGGGAAAGTTCATAAACAAGTGAAGACTTGGATGGAAAAATATTCTAGGTCTATGATCCAAGTTGAGGAAAAATAATACACAAAGGCCCTACAACAAGGAATTTAGCATATGCTTTCAGGCATCATAGAAATCCAGTGTAGCTGAAAATCTAATGGACTTGGTAGTGAAAGGAAAATGGTGAAATCTGAGCAAGAGCCAGATAGTAAACCGTTTAGGAACTATATGTGGGTTCATCATTCAGTGAAAAGTCAGCTGGAGAGTGACATAACTTGCCTTTCATTTTATGAAGATCACTGTGGCTGCTGTGAGGAAGAATGCATTGGAGGGGAGGGCAAGATTAGAAAGGCTGAGAACAGTCAGGAGTTTACTGATGTAGTGCAAAGGATGCTGGCAGCATGAACAAAGGGAGAGCAGTGAAACTGACTCAAGAGATAATTTGGAAATAGTAACAGAACAAGACATATTCTCTGTTGGCAGACCTTGGTCAGATGCCAAATAATAAAATTACTTAGTTGTAATAGGACCAAAACCAACTGAAACAGAAATTTAGATGCATGTTTCATAAATCCAGAAACTTGTTACTACAAAAACTGTGATGTTGCCTGCATGTTTCCTCTGGCTCCAGGAACCTTCTCTGACCACACAAAGGATAAAGTGAGGGAACTGATACCCCCCAAGAGCAGTAATGAAAATGATGTAAAGAAGTGGTGGGGTAGGGCTAGGGCTGTGGCTCAGAGGTAGTGCACTTGCCTGGCATGTGTGAGGCACTAGGTTCAATTCTCAGCACCACATAAAAATAAATAAATAAAATAAAGGTATATCAACAACTAAAAAAAAAATCTAAAAAAAGTGGTGGGGTAGGGCTGGGGTTGTGGCTCAGTGGCAGAGTGCTTGCCTAGCATGTGTGAGGCACTGGGTTCAATTC